TGTGATATATTTTTGTGTGTGTGTGTATATATATATATATATATATGTATATATATATATATATATATGTGAAGAAGGTTATAATAATATTGATGTAATTTTTATTAAGTATTATACCGCTCAATAACTTTATATTAAATATGAATTTTGTAAAATCAAACCTTTAGATTGAAGGTTTTTATATGTTTATATCACTTTTTGTTAAAATTGAACAATTTGAAGATAATCAAGGTGTTCATATTTTAGTATTTTTTAAAATGTATATATTGAAGTTAGACATGAAACACATAGAAGGGGGGCCGGGGGAGGGTTGAATATGTGTGTGTGAACAAACGTATTTTTCTTCCAACATTTTTGCAAAAGTAATATACTTCATCCAAAACACTTTCGAATACCAGACGGTTAGACAGAATTTGGTTAACACAAGGTCATTGTGTCTGAAAGGTTTATCGTCCACTGAGGAAAATAGTTTATAATAATAATTATTGAAGTTCTTGCATTTTCCTTTTCAAGATAGTTTCGTTTAAAGACAAGCAGTGAATAAGGTTTTTTAGTATAATGTATCTCTTAAACGAAATTTGCGTGTTCATCTGAAGAGTAGTTTAAATAACATGTAAACACTGGATGGAGTTTTTCATAAGGAGTTAATTAGTAAGGAAGATTTGTGTCTAAATAAACGTGAAAAGCAATGCAATCATTTTATACTGGTTCGCTCAACTGAGTTACGTCCAGTCTCCTTCAATTGAAGGGTTCCACTAGATATCAAAATGAAGAACATTGAGTATTATCGTCCACTCCTGGACCTGAGTATTCTCGACCACTCCTGACCCGTTGGCTTCACTCACCAACGCTAGTATTCTTAAACCACTTCTAGTTCTCTAAGTATTCTTGACCACTCCTGACCCGTTGGCTTCACTCACCAACGCTAGTATTCTTAAACCACTTTTGGTTTCCCAAGTATTCTCGACCACTCCTGGCCCATTGGCTTCACTCACCAACGCTAGTATTCAGTGGCCCGTTGGCTTCACTCACCAACGCTAGTATTCTTAAACCACTTTTGGTTCCCCAAGTATTCTCGGCCACTCTTGGCCCGTTGGCTTCACTCACCAACGCTAGTATTCTTAAATCACTTCTGGTTCCCCAAGTATTCTCGACCACTCCTGGCCCGCTAGCTTCACTCATCAACGCTAGTATTCTCTTATCATCCACTTCTGGCTAGCAGTGAGTATTCTTTGGCAAACCCCTCCAGGCTTTACAAGTATTTTTTCCCTAACCTCTTGAGGCTTTACAATGTTGGCTAGACAGGTTTGGTTTGAGTGTATGGGTTATTCTCAAGGAGAGGATACATATATTTCTACACTCACTAAGGTTTCACTACCTTAGTCTTACAGAGATTCTGAGTGTGTGATTTACTCTTTTACAAAGAGGATACATACGATTACTACACTCACTAAGGTTTCATTCCTAAGATTCACATGAAAAACCTTAGACTACAGAGACGAATACAATGATACATTGTATGTTTGACTATGAAGAACTGATCTCTGATCCCTCTATTTTTCCTTTGGGCTTATTATTACTTTTGGTGCCTAATGTTCATAGCTCAGGGCAACGCCAACCTTTTCGGTTTGAGGTTATTGCATACTTATAGGCCTGTAAAATTTTCCCGTTGCAAGTGTCCGTTGAAGTAGATATAGTCGTTTACGACTAGTTTGATCTTCTCATTTAATGCTCAGATTCTTGCATTAAATGTTGCTTCTTGTGATAGACCTTGTGTGAAGTATTTATTGTCTTGGTGGCAGCAGTGTCTAAATTCAGCAGAGACCTAGGAACCTTTTTGTCATTTTCAGGTCACATAGCTGTGGAGTTTTGTCCTTGTTTGAAAAAGTAATGTACTTTTTCTGACACATGCATGCTTTTAGTTCTGTGCTTGATTTTCTCTTTTCTTCTCTTCTTCTCACAATTATGATGACTTCGTGTGTTCTCCTGTGAGTGTGGACGACATTTAAATTGTCCTTTGAAGCTTGATTCCTTAGATAATTGCGTGACAATTTTCGTTCGCATACTATCAATGTATTACAACTCTCCCCCTTAGTATATGCTCTCCCCATTACTTGATTATTCCTTAGTCGTTGTTGATTTATGATTAT